GTTTAGGGCTTAGGGGGTAGGGTTTGGGGTTTTGGGGCTTTGGGTTTTGGGGGTAGGGTTTTGGGTTTTGGGGTTTAGGGGTTTACGGGGTAGGGTTTGGGATTTATTTAGGGGTTTAGGGTTTAGAGTTCAGGTGCAGCCTGTCCCGAGTGCGAGTGCAAGGCGACCTGGAAAATGAGCTTGCGCACCTGTACTGAAACTCCACAAGAGGGCCATGGTGGACATAGGGTTTAGGCTTTAGGGCTTTAGGGTTTAGGGGTTGAGGGTTTAGGGCTTCTGGTGGACGGTGGACTATCTACAAGAGTGCACATTGGAGCTCTCGATATGCACTAGTTTCTCACATGGATGGTTTAGGGTTTAGGGTTTAGGGTTTAGGGTTTAGGGTTTAGGGTTTAGGTTGGCTGCCAACAGGGAAGTAGGGCGGGAAGCGTGCTGGTCTGACTGGTTCAAAGAGCTGGCTGCGAACGGGGCTAGGAAGGGCGCGGAAGTGAGAGAGCCCCAAAGCCTTACCTGCCATCAGAATATTTCTAAATTACAAGTAGTTTGGGCTTACTATAATCAGACTATGTTATACCCCGAAACCTGTTACTAATTCTTAGCTTATACAGCTCTGACACCCGAACCCGCGAGGATCCCGCCGGTTCAGAAGTTTGGGTGAAAGGGCTCGGAGTGCACGGCCCTAAACCCTAAAACCCTAAACCCATAAACCCTAAAACCCTAAAGCCCTAAATGTGCGGTGGTCTAAGGTTGCAGGGTGTAGGGGTTTGGAGTGTCAATCCGGGTCCCCTGTAGAGACACCCAAAACCCTGAACCGTGCATCTTTGTGGGTTGCACTTGTCCAACTGGGGTCCATGCGGCTCCTTTCGGCTAAAGCCAACTCCAAACCCAAGACCATCATCTTAGGGGCTGAGTTGGTAGCCTTTAACTTTCTGTGGCTTATATAACCCTACTGTGATTTATGATAATTTAACAGGTTAGCATTTTTTTGGGCTACAGTACTACGATTTAGGGTTTAGGGTCTAGGGTACTCAGCCCCTAAGAAATTGAAGGCCTAAGCCCTTAAACCCTCGGCCCTAAATCCTAAAAACGACATCTTCCTCTACGGGGGTCTCTTGACAACACGGGCGATGGATCACCAAACCCCTTAAACCCTAAACCCTGAACCCTCAATTTTAAACCCTAAACCCTAAACCCTCAATTTTAAGCCCTAAACCCTGAACCCTCAATTTTAAACCCTAAACCCTGAACCCTCAATTTTAAACCCTAAACCCTAAACCCTAAACCACCCTCTTTCCCGAACCCCTAAGATGCTGAAGGTTTGGGCTTTTCACGCCCTTAACGCCAAGGGCGAGGTCCAGGCCTTGTCGGAAGGGTTGGAGGGTGATCGAGACTTCAGGGCTTTAGGCGTCTAAGTGCGCTCTAGCGATGATCTGTGCCCTGAACCCCTAAACCCTAAACCCTAAACCCTAAACCCTAAACCCTAAAATTTGGGGTCGAAACCAAAAGTTGCGGGTTGGAGGGCTGCTGGCTTAGCTTGGGAGTCGGTGGTGTAGTTGCCGGAGGACTCAGGTTGGTTGGCAGTTACGGTTTAGGGTTTAGGGTTTAGGGTTTAGGGTTTAGGGTTTAGGGTTTAGGGTTTAGGGTTTAGGGTTTAGGGTTTAGAGTCTCCGAAAATTAGGGGTACCTTATTTTGGGGTCCTTATAATAAGGATCCTATTATTTGGGGTACTATATTAGGGTCCCCTATTTTCGGAAACCCCCATATTTGTTTGCTGGTTTTTGCCTGTGGGGGGTGGGGTGGGGGGTGCAGGGGGGTGAGTGGGCTGCGGGGAACTCGCGAGGTGTGGGGGCGGCTGCCTAAGTCTTTACGTACAACTGGGCTTCGAAGCAATATACAGGTGGAAGCAGCATACCGTATTGACATGGCTGAGATCAGTTTTGATGCGGTCTGTCAAATAAACACTGGACTTGTCTATATCCCTAACGGTCCAAGTGCCTAATCATCATATACTCTCCCAAATAGTAACTTACAGAAGTACTTTCTGAAATCTAAGTAGCTAACATATTGGGTCCTTTGGACCCTTAGGGTATCTTCTCTAGATACCAAAAAGACCAAAACAAAATCTCCCTGCCGTTGGAGGGCGGCCGGGCTAAACCCTAAACCCTAAACCCCAAACCCTAAACCCTAAACCTTAAACCCTAAACCCTAAACCCCGAACCTTAAACCCTAAACTTGAAGCCCCAAACCCTAAACCCTAAAGGGTCGGAGGTGGAGGGCGGGAGACTTGGAGTGACGCGTTGGGGGGGTTTAGGAATTAGGGGTTCAGGGTTTAGGAATTAGGGGTTCAGGGTTTAGGAATTAGGGGTTTAGGGTTTAGGAATATTGGGTTTAGGGTTTAGGAATTGGGGGTTTAGCGTTTAGGAATTAGGGGTTTAGGGTTTAGGGTTTGGGAATTAGGGGTTTAGGGTGAACGGCTGGAGGCTAGGAAGTTTCCGAGGGCTGGAAGGAAGGCTGCAGTTGGAGGGCAGGGGTGCTGGAGCGTTTAGGGTTTAGGGTTTAGGGGTTTAGGGTTTAGGGTTTAGATACTGATGCTTCTCGCTTCGGCGCGAGGTTTGCAAATGCCTTGCGGCTCAATACTGCTATTGGTTCCGTAGGGATTAAAGCCTTGTTGAAACATCCATGTTCTTATGATTCAGTGCCAGCACTTCTTGTGTGCTTCCCAAAAACTCACACCCTAGTGCAATCATTACATGATTTGCCTGTAGTCTCCATTGTAGTTCCTTTTTGTGGTTTAACCAAAGTATATATTAAGGAACTTATAAGGTATCCCCAAGAAGGAACTACTACAATTGGAGGCTACAGGTACTCATAGGGTTCCTATAAAGCACCTGACCTTCAGGGCCAAAGTGTGCGCTGCGTAGGTGCATGGACCCTTGAGGCTCGGATCCTAAAGCCGTGCAGGTACACTGCAAGCAAAAAGTCTGACTTTAAACCTAAACCCAAACTCTCAAATCCTAAACCCTGAACCTTACACCCTAAATCCTAAACCTTAAACCACTTAAATCCTAAACCCTGAACCTTAAGCCCTAAATCCCAAACCTTTAGCACAAAATCCTGAACCTGAAACACCTAAATCCTAAACCTTGAATTCCAAAACCCTGAACCTTAAATCCTAAGTCCAAAACCTCAAAGCCTAAACCCTAAACCTTAAATCCAAAACCCTGAACAGATGTGGGCCCGGTTTAGGGTTTAGGGGTTTAGGGGCTTAGGGTTTAGGGTTGGTTCCTGAAGGATCTATAAGGGTTTCTTTTGTGGGTTTCTATAAGGGTACTATATGGTAGGTCTCCAAAGTAGGGTTGCTTAGAATAGCACGGCGCGCGTATGGAAAGGAGCCTTCAAATCACCCTAGTTGGGAGAACTACCCATGTGACAGTCGAGCAGCAGTGGGAATGCTGCAAGAGCGAGATCGAAGAGACTGCGTGGATCAACACAGTAGCAAAGTTAGTGCTCTAAGTAGTCGTTGGGAGACCCCTTAGAGGGAACCCTTCTTAGCCCTGCTGGAGGCTCTCTTACACGGGACCCTATAGAGAGGGTCTATACCCCCCAGGGTTCCCCAATCCTAACCCTACGTCGAACTCCTAAACCATCCTAAACCTCAAACCCTAAACCCTAAACCCCTAAACCCTAGACCCCAAAGAGTAAATGAACGAAGGCCCTTATACAAGCCCTCTCGAAAATCGAAGGAAATGCTCTCGAAATGCCCAAAACGAACGACCCTAAGTGGGGGCCCGGCTGGCACCAAGGGTCCAAAGAACCCAACAATCAAGTACTTAGGTTTCTGGTAGTACTGTAGTTATGAAGGTTACTATTTGGGAGAGTAGATGAAATTAGGTACTTGGACCCTGACCTTGCAAAGAGACCCCGTGACCCCAGACCTTTGACTTCTTCTGCAGGCGC